CTCATATTATTAAAACAGAGCTACTGTTTTATTATTAATTGTTCATAAAATAACGCAGCTTAGCGATCGTGGTTAATTTTAACATTTGGTTATTGCTACGGAATCGCTTAAGTTCTGCCCGTTTGAACACTAAAGCATAGAAAATGCTTCGCTTATAGGATCATCAAATCGGTTAATGCTATCAAAGTTTTAAGGATGCAATTTTCAAAACTAAAGTAACATCGCCAAATAAAAGATAAAATGTTCAGGTAAGTTAATTATAAACATTGCTAAGTGACAAGAAAACTCGCCAAATAAGGAATTAAGCCTCCCAAAAGCTTGGTTTCGATTTTATTCAACTATTTAAAATTAGGTTAAAAAAAACGAACTTAGTTTGACATAGATTTTCAATAACTATCGATTTTGAAGGCAATTAGACTATAGTCCCTCTTTTTCAGAAGGGGGGAGGAATACATAAAATCTGCAGAATTGAAAATACATTCCCCTTAAAATATCTGCGCCAAACTAAAGTTGCTCAATTTAAAATTTTACATTGGCATGTTTTCTTCCGATGAGGAATGTTCTTCGAGCATGAAGATTAAGGGTACAGCATCGGTCAAATAATTTCTAGAAACATTATGATTAGATCATAAATTAACTTTTGCATTAAAACATTATGAACGGTTCATAAAACATTTTTTTGGGGTATTTTCTGAATTAAAAATGCTGTGATTTTAAAGGAGGTTTTTTTCTCGTCGTTTAATGTTATCATTCGGTTAATATTTATTATCAAAATAGCCGTGGAAAAACATGAACACATCAAGCGGCATCTTCTGTAGTATTCTGTTGCTTAAGTCCCTTAGCAAACAAACCAAGAAATAATTACGCGCGCGTGTATAAAAAAATCTTGGACAGTAGAGTTGGCAGTATGAATCTGCTCCGTTCTATTCCAATTTTAATCGACAACACTCCAGACGGAATGACAGAATTCTAGGTTCTCGTACCTTTCTTCCTCTCTGCAGTCTTTCAAGAGAGCTTTTAGGCCGAAAGAATTTAACAACGCTTTTTAGATGAAACAGTGGTTATTGACCTGGCTGGAAGCCTTCAGGTTCGAATTCGAAGAAGGAAAATGGATAGTATCTCTGTGGCACGGAGACATTCAAAATACATGGCGAGCCGAAAGTCCTCTCGAGTGGTTTGGCGATAAGGGAAAGGGATGGAACATCCTTGGACCAGCGGACTGTTCTTCAAAACCGTGACGGAACTGGGCAAAGTCATACTGTCATCTGTATGGTGCTCAAGGTTCATGCCAGTGACCAACGCAATCTTGCACTCATTGCCACGATAAGATTCGTAGGCTTGTTCTGATTAGGTCAAAGAAGTCATATTATCCACAAGAATAACACAAACTCTTAAATATTTCAGTACCCTTAAGTACTACAGTCATAAACGTTCATAGCGACCCTAGAGGCCGAATGGATTGGCACAGTCTTGCATGTTTTGCCACGACAAAACTCGTGGTCTTGTTCCGATTAGGTCACAGTAGTGAGATCAGCCACAACAGCGAAATAATAGAAACTTTTAAGTATTTCAGGTACCCTTAAGTATTGCAGTTATAAGGCCACCAGTCGCCGAATGGGTGAATCTGCTGAAATTTGTTGTCGACTGGGCTCAAATCCTGCCGAATGAGCTGGTTGCATTTCCTTATATGTAAGACGAATACAAGCCTTTTACTTATGAAAGTCATCCATCAAGGATTTCATCCAATTAGGAAAATTGCCTTCCTGTGCTTTGCCAAAATTCAGAAGTGGGCTGGACAACAGAATTTCACTATTGGTCGTATGGGTATTAGCCCGCCGCTTTAACTGTGCAAATTTAGCCCAATTTTGAAGGAAAGTGCCCTAGATGAATGGTCCGAGGGAACTCCATCCCTCATCACCAGCCACTCGAGAACACTTTTGGCTGGCAGTTTTGTTTTAAAGTCTTTCTTTGCCTTGCCGCACAGACACTATATGCTATAAACTTCATGCTTCACCGGGATTCGAATCCGGAGCCCTCGTTATAGTAATCAGCGTCACTAACCACCATACCGCTCAGGCGGCTTCACTAAACAGATAAACGAACATTAGTTTTTTTGTATGAGATTCGAAACCTTCATCATATAAGCAGCGTTCGCCAGCTACAATACCGATTGAAAAGCGATTTCCTATCATGCAATATAGTATATTTGATCGAAGTGAAAATATGCTCACCCTAAACTGCATGAAATTTTTCTAGTAGGAAACAAGATGGGTATAGCTATCTTTTCTTTTTCCCAAAATGAAAAATAATCTAAATTTGTGTTGTAATAAAGTAACAATGTAATAAAAAGTAATCTACGTTTGTTGTAATAAAGATAATCTCAGTTTAATGCTGAAAAATAGCAATAACATGCAGTGTATTGCAAAACACAATCAATATACACCTTGTCCACAGAAGTTCTTATCCAGCGTTTATTTTTCGCAGCATATACATTTTATTACAAAAATATTTTAAATGAAACAAATATTTCGGTTTTGGCATTTTAAAATTTAAAGATGTCAATTTTGTAAAAATTAAGAAATCTAAGCTTTTTTTTTAAACGTTCTTGCGGTCCCTATTCTATGCTGAGAAAAATTTTATACTCGAAATAAAAAATAAAACTCAAACCGCTTGGCTTATGGAAGACAAAAAATCACTTAAATATCTGATATTAAATTCGAAGATCATATTTAGGGGGCGTACACAAATTGAAGAGTGAAATGTTTGCATTTGTTCGCAACTAAAACCAAAATATCAGTTTAGAAAAAAGGTTTCCGATGTTAAGAGATTGACGAGTATTTCTACGCATATTACTGGTAAAAGTATTGATCAATATAATTTTTTATCAAAGTGGAGACCTCATTCACAGAATTTTGGAGAATTCGTATTCTGAAAACACTGGCAGTCTTCAGTATTGACACGCAAATAACTTGCAGTATTATTTACATTAATTAAAAATGAAAAGTATTTAAAGTTTAATTAATTTTATGCATGATTACCAGATTATGATTTTAAAGTACTGTGCTTACTCCTGTAATAGTCGCACCCTCAATTTAAAACAGATAAAATCATCAAAAATGTACAATATTGCGTATCCCCGCATAATAGTAGCACCTAGACTTTAACAATGAAAAATTAACAAAAAATGTGCGACTATTTACACGAGTAAACACGGTAATAAAATTTCATGAAAATATTAATAACATATTTAAAAATTTATAAATTACCTGCGGGAAAATTATTTCCGCATTCTAAATGTAACAAAATTATAAATTAAAGACAAATCACAAAAAGAATATAAATGAATGACGGTTTAGAGAAAAAAAAATCATGCTCGAATTATTCGAGTTTTTTATGAATAGACCCCTCAAGACAGCTTCAAAATGAGTCAAAAATCGGGAATTTCGAGTTAAATTTCTCGGTCAGTTTTTGTCACACGGGAGTCAAGCTTTTTGTGTTTAATTTCTTATAACGAGTACAAAATTTTCCTAAATATAAGGACGGGAGGAATGTGTAAATAAAAGTAAATTTTTTTAAATTCAAAAATGCCGAAACATGAATATTCGTGCCAATTAAAACATTTTTTAATGGGAAGTGTATGCCTACGACCAATGCGAAAATAAAGGCCGGCTAAGGACTTTTAAAACATGCTGCAAAATATAATGTTTATTAGTAACGCAAGTTATTTTTTAGCATTTTTCTTCGTGCTTTTAAAAGTTATAGAAATGCGAAAATTCAGCTAATGAATGAAAGATATTTGATGGCTCTAAGTACCGTTGTTTTTTTCACAGTGCGACAAACATAGGCACATTCATACAGACTCTTAATTATTTGATTTCTTTAAATATAATACAATATTTGGTGGCAATAATTTAAAGAGTGATACATCGCTTTTAGTGATTCAACGCAAAATGCCGTTTCAAGACTAATTGCCCATCTGGACTAAAAAGATAATTTACATGTTATTTTCACTGCTCAATTTATTTATTTAATCATTTATTAAAAGCTGATGTGAGTTCTCAAAAAAATTTGAAACGCGTATATTTTGCGATTGCTTTTGCAAAATACATATAATATTAAAAACTAGAAAACTGAAGTTTCTATGTACCATTGCTTAGAAAAAATAATCTTGCAAATTTCAGATATTTGTGTAATGAATAATTAAACAGTTATCAGCTAGGACATCTGATATAAACATAACACGATTTTGAATCCGAAACCTTTTTCGTAATAAATAAATTACTACGTATTACTTAATAGTAATGTTTAAAAATAATAAATAGTATAAATAATAAACTAACTGCATGCGTCGTTTTTATAAAAACAAAAATATTTATGCTTTTGATTTTTGTATTTTAGTTTTTTTAGAATAGCAATTACAGATTCGATATTTTAACAGAGTTCTTAAAAAATGGTATAGTAGCGAAAATGTTTACATTAATATATTCAGTGCAACATTACCATGATTATATAATGCTACAATTACTACTTCTAAACACATTTATTTCTTTCTCAGTTAATAAAAGAGGTGAAAAGGGGTTTAGTTTTTAGCCGTTTGCTGATTCTGGCCATTAAGAATGAACAGCTAGAAAATTAATCATTCTTATTTTTCAAGAGTCTATTAATAAAATTTGTACCAATTTATGCATCAAATATAAATATAAAAATTGTGAATTATTACATTTTTTAACAATGTCTGTGTATATGCATTTTAAACATTTGCTATACTTCATATCTGGAATCAACTTTCTTTTTTAAAAAAAAAAAATCATTCCTGTAATAATAAGAAATAGAATGTGAACAATGTTACACAATCACGGAAAAGAATTTTTGCTTTCATATTTATTACTCATTCAATAGCAAAAATTATGAAAATAGTCTACATAAGAAACATTGCAACTACTAAAAGTAAAGAACAAAATAATAATAATAATAATAATAATAATAAATGGCTTACTGACCGGCGATCCTATAAGGCCACACACTAAGCAATTCCACTTCTGTTAACTCCGATAGATAAGATGTTCGAACACAGCAATAATCCGTAAGGTTTGTAGAACTAAACCATGTTTCCATTCTCCCTCGGTTCCGTTATCTGTGACGTCACGTGAGGCACCTGTGGCTTCCTCCAATGGTGAAGTCGCTTTCTAGGACACGAGAATCGAAATGGGGGGAGATGCTATTAAAAAAAGGAATGATAGCTTTCTTTCTTTTCTTTTTTTTTTTTACATTATTTAATGATTACTTTTTCTCTTTTCGGCCGCTCTGTTTCTCTTTGTGGGTCAGATATAACGCCCTTCCGCAAGGTGGACGCTGGCTATCTTGGGGTGATTACGCAGTTACTGTTCGTCGAAAGCGACTCAGCTGCATGATTTCCCGCCTTCTGTAAGCTTTGTAAATAACTTTCTCTTTCTGACCAAAGATGATTACGTGACGTAACTGCTTTGAAAAACATCGCATGAAAATATAAAGCGAAAAACTAGAAGTAAATATAAAAATTCCAGATAAAATAAACAAGAGTGAAAATGCCCTTAAACATTAAGCTTAGCTTTCCTTTAAATGTTGGTCTCGAAATAAATTAGAAAAGGAAATGATACCATTTGAAGATTTCTTTGTCAATTGCTCACAAATGGGATAGTATATTCAAACGAAGAATTTAAAGCAGGTAATTTTCCACAGAAAGATACAAAATGATTTATCTTCTAAATTAAATTATCTTGATTATGATAAATTATGATTTATCTTCTAAATTAAATCATTTGGCAATGCTCGTACATTAGAATATCTTGTTGTAACCTACATTACAATATCTTGTTGTAACCTTGTTACAACAACAAGATATTGTAATGTACGAGCATTGCCAAAATGTAAAATCTAACAAAGAATGAAATTAATATAAAAGACTAGAAACTACCACTGCAGATCGTCTGACTGAAGAAAATTTTTCATCAAAACGGGAAAAATTCCGGATGCTTTATTCCTTGGTAAACAGACAATTTCATTTACAGAACGTTCTAAACAACTCAGAAAAGTTAAATTAAAATATATCTTTTTAAATCTGTTATTTATATTAATGCAACGAATTAAGTTAACCAAAGAAGCGTTAAATTAAATTGAGTTGAAATATTACTCTAATATAAAATTTGAAATTTATGTGAATTCGAACAGTTTGCTTTAAAAATACAATAAACTATTTTTTTTTTTTTTTTATCTAAAAAGCAATGAATGAAGTCTTATTTTCTAAAGAATTCTAAAAGCTATTTATAAACTGTTATAGTTTCCGTGTTACAAAAGAATTTTTTAAAATAAACTTTAAAAGCTTATTAATTAACAATAAGTGTTGAATTGACTGATGTGTTTCTAAGGAGTTTTACAGTTTTTGCCCTTCGTTAATTATACTAAGATAAATGCTTTCCCGGAAACGAAACGTTACATACCTAACCTTACGTGCGATAGGAAAAGACAGGATGAGATTAAAGCAAAATAAAAGACATAAAATTTTTCCGATTTCTCAGACGTCTGGTGCTGTTATGAAATTTCGCCATTTGTTTGAGCAAGTTCTATAATCTTAAAACATTAACATGTGAATTCGAGCATCTTGCGTCTGTAAATACGAATAAAATTCTATGTTAAAAATTTTCAGAGTTTTCGTTTTATTTGTCATTTAATAAAAAGTAAATTTGTTGTTTTCAATTAAGCGTCTGTCTCCTTATTTTCCCTTCATAACCTTCCTATTTTCATTCGAAAATCCCCGCATACATTCAGATCTTCGCAACTTAATTTCTTGGATTTTTTTGCCTACTTTGTTTAAGGATTCCACACATATTGAGACAGATATATCTGGAAATGCATAGAAATTCGATCCCTTTCTTCAGATTTCTTTTATGTCACTTTTCGCCTTATAACTCGAAATCTTATCTAATGTTGGTTAAGCAAATGTGAAAACATCCGTTGAATATTATCTGTATTTGATTCAGTCATAGAATAAGCACAACTGGTGTTGCGTGTGTTATTGTTGAAGTTAGTAGCTTAAAAATGCCAAGAGATAATTCTTTTCTTTGATTAACTGTTTTGTTTAAAAAAACCTTATATTCGATTTACATGATACTTTGATTTGAATATTTGATAACATATAGAAATAACTCACACCGGAACTTAAGATAATAAACGAAAATAAATACCCCAGTCAGTTTCACGAGTTAAACAAATCGATGTATTAAAGGTTTACAAGTTAAGAGTCAGCGTTGTAGATATTAGACTAAGTTGATCTGCTAAACGTAAATTTTGTATTTCTTAATAACAGACTAAAAAATTTCACTATTAAGCCATTGTTCCTTGTATTATTTTTAATTAAATTCTTCACCTATTATCAACCAACAATATGTTCAGTTAGTAGGATAGAATAGTTTCGTATGTGCTTAAAAAAAGAATATACGTTCTTATATCTGCCATGCAAATATATATGAGACATTCTAAAGATTTTAAATTAAAAGACTCGTGTTGTTGAGTGTTTTAGAGTGGAAAAAAGATTCTGGGGGAAAAAAAAACTGTGTATCATATGAATTGATTCTGTGCAGTCATTATTTCTTAAATCTTTATTATTGACTATCGGCAATAACAAAAAGTTTTTATACAGTTTGCTTTCTCATGGCGTTTATGATCATCTAAAGCATATACATACGTATAAATATTGGTAGAAGTATAGGGAACACCGTCTATTTTTCTAACGGTGAAGCAAGTATTGTCCCCATGTACAGTTTATTGGCATATTGACCTATTATCTTATAGATTTACATTTATCATTTTATACATAATATTGTTACATTATTATCTAGTTCAAAATTCTCCAGGCGCACCACATTGCAATAATTTTGCTATACCTTTATACAAAATCATATTTAACATACATTAACATATATTTTACATAGTTATTACACTTTTAAACTTAACTTTGTATTTAGACTATTTTATAATTTAATTTTTATGCACATTTTGCATTATGTAATTCATGTTTCATTAATTATTACAATTTGCTTTAGTAGCACAGTTTCTAGTTAACATTTCATTTGTAATTAATATCTCATTTTAATTTGTTATTCATGCAACAGTTCATATAGTTGATCATAAGTTCAGTGCAGATATATTTTATTGGTAAATCAATGTTTTATATATATATAGTTCTTGGTACACAGAGTTCATAGTATTACATATTGTAATTAAAAGTAACCGTGTAGAGCGTTTGGTATTTTCTATGATACGCTTTGCTTTAATTGATGTTAATGTATTACACATAATTCTTTGCCTTTCGAAGCTAAATTTCGAGTAATTTGTTTTAATTTTATTTTTTAAGTATTGATTTTTTATTGCGTATTTTAGGAAGCTTTCTATGCTTTGATTTGGAGAAATATGCCTGCAGACAGAACAAACGAATATCCCTTCAAGACGTATACGGAAGAAGAAATTAATGATGTGATAGTTTAAGCAGCTTGTTAGAATCGCGCATGCACGTGCTTGGTGATCTTTGAAGCTATCACCTCAATTTGCAATTATTTTTACTGATTCTCTCTTCTCTCTACTGGTTTGCGGTCATTTTCTTCATGAAAACTCATCATCGGAAACTCATTCGTCACTCTTTCCGATTGGATATCCGCCATTTTAGAATGGTTCATGGCTTCGCACCGGATGGATGTTGGGATCACAGGTGGGCGTCACGTGACGATTGTTGTGTAGAATAGGAAAGTGGGTCACGTGCGGCACCCGGAACGTCGATTAATCCACAAACAAAAAGAGAGAGGAGGAAGAATAGCTAGTGTTTATTTCTAGCGATCTTGGAGGAAAGTGCACTTTTCCTCTTCCGTCTATTTTAGGAGCTCTTGATAGAATATTGCGGACATTTAAGTGGCCGAATTGGCAAAAACTGATTATTTTACATCCTCGGATAATTCCTCGATTCCGATAGCTTCTTCCGACGCACGCTTTTTCGCGCTTCATCGGATGGTTAAGTTTTCGCCAAACTTTCGGAAACGAATGATTTGTGAATGATTCTCTGTTAAGTAGGCCACGAGATCGAGCCATTCTGACTTAATTATGCTTTGATTGAAAAAAGACCTAATACTTGTGCTGTTTTTGAAAGAAATATCAAGAAGTGAGAAATTATGGGACGAACTAATTAATAAGTACTAAATTATAAAATTGATGGGAACATCAAAGCACTGATTCTTGATATTCTCAGTAAACAGTGCAAAACACCTTAAACCGCTGCAGATATTATTGAATGCCTTAATAATCCCATTAGTTATAAATAAATATCACTAGAAGTTATTTACAAGATAGCATAGTCCACATCATAATGGATAAAGGAATAATTCAACATAATCTTGAAAGAGGGTGCCCAGAGGATTCATACGTTGGTCCCACTCTATGAAATTTAGTTGCCAACACACCTTTCCTGTATTTTAACAACTTGGAACACGTAAACTTGCAAGCATTTGCTGGTGGTTTTCTGCTGGTGGTAGCTGGAAGAAAAGCCATTGAAACAAGAACACAGGATTAAATTGACATTTTTGCAAAATGGGTAAAAGAACATAAACTTCAAATTTTCCTAGCCAAGAGAAAAATCTAGCCAATTGATAGAAAGGGAATTCTGAGAAAGAAACTATCAGTACAACACTGTGATACTCCTATTAAATGCTTCGCAGACCTCAAATACTTAGGTTATTATAAGTCAACAGTTTAATAAATTGTATGAAATCAACATGCGAGGTTTACATTTTTGTCAAAGGGGAGCATTCGTTAAAGAAAGTTTTGTTGCAATCAGGAAAGATACTTTTCCAATCATTTTAAAATTTTGATAAAAGTTGACTTTGGATTCAATATTTTGAAATTAATCAATTATCAAGCACTGTGATTTAAATTAAATAATACTATTGTACAAAATATTTTTAATTATTTTTCGATCAGTTAAGATTTATTTAGTTGAAATTCTTTAATTCTGACGAGCAGTGTATTTTTGAATTGTCATAATGAATTAACTAGTTTTGAATTTCTATATTGGAGTAATTGATTTTAAATATATTATTATATTATATATTATTATATTATTTGCATCTTAGCATGTTTATGATTGTATTTAAGTCTCTTTTATATTAGTTTATATTGAAATAATTGACACTGATTGAAATAAAAATACACCAATCATCGGTGAATAAAACGTCTGAAATTAAGGTTAATGAATAAAGATTGTTTCTTTGAATCTAGTTATGGAAATACGTTTTTAATTATGTTCAGATAC